AATATGAGGTGTTAAATGATAATAGTTAACTAGCGATTAATTAAAAATTAATATCATGTCACTATAACCTCATAAATTTAGCATTATCTTATCCAAGGCCGACCCTAGGGCATACAAATTGAACTAGGGGTTTTAGGCCCCATCCATATGAAAGGCCCTAAATTTTATTGGTCTCTACTCTGATGCAGACCTACAATTTTAACCCATAAAAATAAGTCCAAAGAAAAGCTCCATAAATACTTAAACTAAGAGAAAAATACTAAACTAAGATTCAAAATGTTACATCAATTAACCATCTCTCTCTCTCTCTCACACACACACATTTTTATCCTAAACTAAAAAAATCAGCCAAACTTATAGATTAAGAATACTTAATAATTTGTATAAAAATAATTTAATAGGGATATCAATGACAAGATAACATAACATAGTGGATAACCTTAAGTTTAAAAATATTGTAATTTTCTATGTAATTTAAAAACATAAACCTCATTTAAAAAATCAATCAAGCTTTTTAAAATTAAAATTAATCAAAACCCATATAAAATTGACCATGTATAAGAAAGATCAAGCCAACTAGTCATACCATTAATCAAAAAATATATGCTAACAAAACTTGAAACAAAAACGTCATAAGAAATTTTCATATCAAACAACAAAAATAAATTAATAAAAAATTTAAAATTTAAAATAATTTTCAAAAAATAAAAAATCTTATTGATATGTGTCATTTTAAGCCTCGAATTAGATCATGCTACACTTTTTTTTTTGGGGGAGGGGAATTTGAACCTTTGACCTCAAGAAGAAAAAACCTTCACAAAATAAATAGTACCATTAGACCAAAAGTCCATTAGTATCAAGCTACACTTGATATTATTATTGAAATAAATTAATTTAATCCACTCTTTAATACCTAAACCAAATATACCCCAAAAATAACTTTTGGCCAATGTGGGTGAACAACCATTTTTCCCAAACGCAAAAATTTTATTTCGGTTATTGAAACAAAACTCACTTGCTAGGAAAAAAATTTCACAAGATAATCCTCTCCTTAAAAAAAAAAAAAAACAACGTCAATATTCTTAAAAAAATTCACACTAGATTCTGCATCGAAATGAATGCAATTCCTAGATTAAATACATAGCACATAGGTAAATGCAAATTCAAGACTTATAGTATGTACGTGGGCCCAACCACATGGAAAGAAAAATGATCGTACCTTTCAAATCACTGACAAAAGAGTTGGTTTCCTTTGTATTGGTTGCTTTTCTCACTTTCTTGGGCACTTTACCTGCGAAGTTCCTTGCTCCCCAAGGATGGATGAATGGGTGGAGGATTTGACTTATGAGGTTGTGGGCACTTTTACTATTACTTAGAATTTTCAAATAAGCTATCGAACAGCAACGTAGAACGTAGGCATCCTCATTGGTAAAAACAATGAAACTAGCAGATATTTTGGAAGGAGAAAAATTAGTATAACATATTTACAAAAAATTAAGTAGGTAGGTGAGAAAGAAAGTAAGATAGAAAATACAAGATTTAAGATTTATTATATCGGAAGGAATAGACGAATAAATAGAATAGAAATAGTTGTAGATATAGACCTAAAAATAGCATAGTAATAATTACAAGAAAAAGAGATAATAGTTATATCTATCAAAATTATAGTCGGAGAGAATATAATTAATGTGATTAACCTTTATGCACCCCAAATAGGGCTAGAGGAACATATTATAAAGCAATTTTGAGAGCAAATGGATGAATTAGCTCAAAATATACTTATAGAAGAAAACATAATCATAGGTGGAGATTTCAATGGATATGTAAAAAAAGATAGGACACAATATGAGAGGGTTCATGGAGGTTATGAATATTGTGATTGAAATAAAGGCGGAGAGAGTATTTTGGAGTTTGCAATGACATATGACCTTATAGTGACAAACACTTTGTTTAAAAAACAAGAAGAACATCTAATAACCTTTAAGAGTGGATCAAACAAAAGCCAAGTAGATTATTTCTTAAGTAGAAGAACGGACCGATTAGCATATAAATATTGTAAGGTTATATTGGGAGAGAATTTAACATCTCAACATAGGCTAACAATCCTATATTTATATATTAAAAAGGCAACATAGTGTGAGGAGAAACATTAGAAAAACAAGAACAAAATAGTAGAATCTAAAAGATGAAAAACTAGTCTTATTTAGGAGTAGAATGTTTAAGAAGGTCTTATAGAACTTAGAGGATGAGACTAACGTTATGTGGAGTAGGATGACGGGACACGTTGAGAAAATTTCGAAAGAAGTTATTGGGGAGTCAAAAGGTAGAGGACTTGTGAGAAAAGAAACTTGGAAGTGAGTACAAGATGTAATTAAAACAAAGAAAGAATCTTTTAAGAGATGACAAAATGATAAAAATAGCGAAAACTTCTAAAGGTATAAATTAGCTAAAAAGAAGGTTAAAAAAATAGTTAGAGACGTTAAGTTAAAAGTTTGCGACGAGTTGTATAAAAAACTAGATAGTAAAAAAGAGAAAAAAGCAATTACAAACTAACTAAAATTAGAAAAAAAAAAAAAAAAGACAAGAGCTTTTAACCAAGTTAAGTGCATTAAGGGCGATAACTCAAAAGTTTTTAGTTAAAGATGAGAAAATAAATGATCGATGGAAACACTATTTTGAAAAACTATTAAATGAAAATCACATAGGAAAATTATAAGAAATAGAAAATAGTAGGATTGAAAAAACGTTATTTTGTAGAATAAAGAATTCGGAGGTAGAGTTTGTATTGAAGAAATGAAATTAGGCAAGAGTTTAGGACCAGATAAAATTCCAATCCAATTGAGGTTTGGAAATGCTTAGAGAATGAGGGGGTGTCATGACTAACAAAATTATTTAATAGAATTATTGTTATTAGGAAAATGCCTGATAAATGGAGAAAGTGTATTTTAGTACCTATATATAAAAATAAATGAGATATTCAAAATTGTAATAATTATTGTGGGATAAAATTGATGAGTCATATAATGAAATTATGAGAAAATGTCATTGAAATTCGCCTAAGAGTTGAGATTACAGGGTCAGAAAATTAGTTTGAGTTTATGCTAGGTATAGAGATAAGAAGAAAAATCTCTATATAATATTTATAGATCCAACAAAGGCGTATGATAACAAAACTTAATACAAAAACGTTACAAAAAAATTTCATATCAAACAACAAAAACAAATTAATAAAAAATTTAAAATAATTTTCAAAAAATAAAAAATCTTATTGATATTATTATTGAAATAAATTAATCTAATCCACTCCCTAATACCTAAATCAAATATACCCCAAAAATAACTTTTGGCCAATGTGGTAGGACGATCATTTTTCCTAAATACAAAAATTTCATTTTGGTTATTGAAATGAAATTCACTTATTGGGAAAAAAAATTTGGATTAATTATATTGGATGTCCCAGAAGTATAGAGTTTATCTCATTTTAGTTACTAATGTTTTAATTGTATTATTTTAGACCCTGAAGTATTAAATATGTTTCTATATGGTCCTTTAAACAGACAACGTCTAGATTGTTAACGATTTTTTTATCAAAAATTTGTCACGTAATACTCAAATATAGACAAAAAAATAACTTGGATAACTCTTGACCAAATTTTTACTCAAATTTTGTTAAATATCAATCTAAATTATACAGTTTTGATTACAAGCTATTCAAATTTTAGTCAAAAACTACCCATATTACACATTTTTTTGTCAAAAACTATCCAAATTGTGTTTAAAAGTTATTAAAATTATTTTTTTTTGTCTATATTTAGGTATTATATGACAAGTTTATGATAAAAAATCGTTAACAATCTAAACGTTATCTGTTTGAGGAATCATATAGAGACATATTCAATATTTCAAATATCAAAATAATATAATTAAAATATTAAAAATTAAAATAAAATAAAATTAATATTTTAGAGATCTATAATATAATTAACCCAAACAAATTTCACAGAATTGTACAATTGTTACAAGCCGTATACTGTCTTGACGCTTGAGTGAAGGCAACAGAACGGACGTGCTCGAAATGAATGCGACGCGACTCTTACATTAAATACATAGCACATAGGTAAATGCAAATTCGAAACATATGGTATATATATATACGTGGGCCCAACCACAGGAAAAGAAAAAGAATCGTCCTTTTGAAATCGCTGACAATGAGTCTGTCTCCTTTCTTGTGATTGCTATTCTCACTTTCTTGGAAGCATTACTGGGAAGTTCCTTGCTCCCGAAGTTAAATACATGTATATAGATGGATGGATGGAGGATTTATGGGTTGTGGGCACTTTTACTACTACTGAGAATTTGCAAGTAAGCTGTCGATTTTTAACTCACCTCCTCTCATTTTCTTTTGAATTTTTTGAATTTCGTTCTTTGCTCTGTCTGAAATTGGGTCTGTCTGATTGGGTTTAAAGCTTCCTGTTCTGTTACTGTATATGGAAATGTATTCAATGCACCATTGGCCATCTTAGAATTTTGTTGTTGTTGTTCTTCTTCGGCTCTGTGAAAAAAATTGCTGTTTTCATCAGAGGTTTTTGTTCTAAATTGTTTCATTTAAAGTTTTTTGTTTGCTATCGCTATATGCGGAGAGGAGATTCAATGCATTTCTGGCTTTGACACGAAGCTCTCTATCTTTCTCTGTCGAACATTTATACATTTTCCTTTTTTGAATTTGAATATCAATTGAAACCCAGTTCATGTGTTTTTTTTTTTGGGGATGAAAGAGAGAAAAGAATCAATGGAAATGTTTTGTGGATCATCGTCTTTGAGGGATGAAGTCTCTGCTTTTCTCTCTCTAAAACAAATTTGCATTTACTTTTTGATTGTTAGTACTTAATAGACCCAGTCCCTTTATATCTTTACCTAATGGAAATTTTCGGTGGATCATTCTCTTTTTAAATCAAATTCAGTTTTTAAGAGAGAAACAGAGAGAGAGAAAGAAAAAGCCAATGGAGCGAGTTCAAATCGAATTCAGTGGAATCCAAAAAGTGACTGGAGATCCTCTCCCTTTTGCAAGAAGGTACTCTCTTTCTTCTGTATTCTCTGTTTGTGGGTGTGTGACTGTGCTGTTGTCATTACTGTTTTATGAATATCTGTTTGTTTTTGAAACTGCTTTTGCTATTTCGGGTGGCCCATGCTTTAATAGCTATCAGTTGGAAGCTTTGGAGAAAGCAATTAAGCAGAACACAATTGTGTTCTTGGAGACCGGTTCCGGGAAGACTCTGATTGCTATTATGCTTCTGCGTAGCTATGCGTACCTTCTCCGCAAGCCATTGCCATATATTGCAGTTTTCTTGGTCCCGACTGTTGTTTTGGTCACTCAAGTATGTTAAATAATCATCGATGATACTTGCTTTATGCCTTATTCGTCTTTAATTTTGAAGCATTTTTATAATTTTGACATGTTGCGGTGGTTTTGATCTTTTCATTCAAACTTTTGGCCCTTTAGACTAATACTTATGACAAATTTTATGTAATCACCGTTTGTGATTAATACTTGTTAGCAAGCTGAAGCTGTGAAAATGAACACTGATTTGAAAGTGGGCAAGTACTGGGGAGAAATGGGAGTTGACTACTGGGATGCTGCTACATGGAAGCAGCAACGGGATGAGTATGAGGTGAGCACACTTTTCATTTCACCTTGTCCAATTCTTTGTTGTAAATCATTCAGTAATAGTTTCAGGAAAGAGAAAGGGAAAATAATTTGATTTTGTGTGTTTCCGTGTTGATTAATGTAATTCCAACTCAATTTAAGCAGTTTTAATAATCAAATGATAATTCCATTTCAATAGATTATGTGGAAATAAAAAAACAGCTTGGTTTTTGGCATGAGAAGTTAAATTAACTGCTATGTACACAAAAAAAAATGTGTTTCTATATGATTTGATGTCATTAGTATTTGCCTGATCCGATGTTATTAATTTTGAACATAGTAAAAAATTGTTGGTGGTTGGCACAACACAAATGCTAAAAGAAATTTTTGCATGCTGTGTTTTATTTTGTCATGGACATTTTTTTTCCTAGTTTTGTAACAATATTGGCTATAGCAAGTGTTATGCTTTAGGAATTATGTCTCTTTGTGGCAAATTTGTTTATTATGGACTTGTGGAGTAATCAACATGCGCCAACTTTTGGGTGGATGATTCAGGTGTTGGTAATGACGCCTGCTATCTTACTTGATGCTTTGAGGCGTAGCTTTTTGAAACTTGACATGATAAAGGTCCTGATATTCGATGAATGCCATAATGCGAGAGGTAGACACCCATATGCCTGCATTATGATGGTGAGTTATCTCTATGTTGAGTTCTCCTTTACTATGTGATGCTTTAAGGTCTTCTAACTTTTTTGTGAGCTCAATGATGAAAGTTTTGCTGTTCCTCGAATTTTAATGTTCTAAAAGGTTTGTGTAAGGAGATATAGTTGTACTAAAATTACATGAAAGATCTTAAACTGCANTGAGCTCAATGATGAAAGTTTTGCTGTTCCTCGAATTTTAATGTTCTAAAAGGTTTGTGTAAGGAGATATAGTTGTACTAAAATTACATGAAAGATCTTAAACTGCATTAGAGCACAATGCAATACTTTCTTTGGACACCAAGGAGCCATTTTGTTCGTTGGATAAAATTGGATTGGATTAATAATTTCCATCCAACCCAACCTCTCAAAAGAGAAAAAGGGGTTGGTTTTATGAAGATGGAATTAGGTTAATTCCAAATCTGGTGTTTGGTTCACACAAGATAAGAAGGTATGATACGTTTTTATTTGTCTAAAATAACATCAGTTATCTATATTTTTATATATATTAGTTGATGCATACGTGCGTCGCACGTGAATCAATTTAGAATACAAAATATTATTATATATTAAAATCACAGAATCTAGAACCATATGTTCATTCTATTCCATGATCTAAGTTCAATATTTGCCCAGGAAAAACTAGAATTTAGAAATTTTTATACGATATTTGTTGTCAATTTGATGGTACGGAACTGAAAAATAAGTTGATGCCTCTTGGAAATTAATAAAGTATAAAACAATAGGTGAAACTCTTCAAGACTGTCAGGATACTTTGTCTTGAAAAAAAAAATTGAAGTTACCAAATTTTTGAGTATGAATAAACTATGCTCGCATTGATGTACCAATTGTCTTTGTTGGTATTTGTCAACTTATTCAGCACAGAATAATCAAATTTTGTTATCTAGATTCAATTGGTGAGATATGAGAATCAAAACAAGAATTAATTAGTGTGGGGTGAAGAGGTAGTATACACCAAACAACACCAGTACACTACTCAAGCTAATATCAAAGGAACTGAATGAACGTTAACCCAAAGACTAAACAACTATGAAACTTATGGATGGTCGCCAACCCAACTCTTAGGATCGTTCACTAAAGCAAAGACTCAAAGATGCACCTTGTAAACATCTTTTGATTTGCTTAAATTCGCCCACAAGCCAATGCTTGATTTGCAACCCACCTTTCAAGGAAAAGCTACTTTATCTTGAAAATTCCCACAAACATCTCCTTCATAGAAGGGAATGTCCCATCAACTGGTGACAAAATTTCTAAACCCAAATGGTTGAGACTAGTCTTTTTAAGCTTTTGCCTATTTTGATGTGTCTTAGTTGACTATAATGCAAAGTAAAATTTTATTATCTTAAGATTTGAATTTTGACATTGTGAATCGTATTTATCAGTTGCATTGCTTTTTTGCCTCGTCCTCAAAATAACGGGATGAGCTTATTATCGTCTTTCGTAATTGTCCATCAACATGAAGTGCATGCGTGTGGTGTTTGTTTGTCTCGGCTTGTGTTTGAGAGATTGTATATTTTAAATACTAATTTAATTTTTTTTAATCACGCTTCTTAAAATTAAAATGAAACGAGATAGGTGTGAATTGATGTGATTGTTTGATATTAGGGAGTGTGTTGATTAAGTTGTTTGTCATTGGGGGTTGTGTAGAGAAGTTGACATTTATGGGCGGGAAAAAAAATTTGAAATGAATTTTATACCCTCGGATCAACTTTTTTGAATGAATCTCAACTGCTGTTGTGCTTTATAACTTATGTGATTCATGTTGTTAGCTGCCATATTATATAGATTGTCAAAAGTAAAAAAGTAAGTTTCTTTTATGGTTGAACAAAGAAGCACATCATTAGCCAAGGCTTGATTCAAGGTTTGATTTTCTCCGGAATCCAAAATTAGCTTTGAAGAAGTAAGTTTTGATATGGAAGAGTAAATTAGCAAGGTTTGTTATGCTGGAAATTACAATGAATGAGAAATTTGTGCCGGGGGGGGGATTTGATAGAGATGTCCCGTGAGTCAATCAAACATTACTAAGCTGTGGTCTGACGTACTGATATTGTCTTGGCAGCTGGTGAGTGGTGACATGTAATTCTCATTCAACTTGACTCGGTCTGAGTTGTAACTTACTTTGAACATCTGCATAGCCTTAGTGGAGCCTTAAGTCTCAAGAATGACTAACTTTTGAAGATTCAATTAATAGATTAATAGTAAGCATATATGAAATGTAATAAGACGCCATAAACATAGAGGAACTGGAGTAAGAAGACTTCATCTGCTAAATTTTTTGCTGGTATATCTGAACACTATATAGAAGTAGCTTGGATCCTTCCCCTTTCTTATAAACCTTAACTTGCCTTTTACCATATATCTGATCACTTATAATTAGTTGACCTTCCCTATAATATCTTTTTACCCTTAAGGCTCTACTTGACTTGCTAACTAATAAAGCCACTGGAGAGATACTGTTCGAAATTTATTTGCTGTATTGTAGTCATGTTGTCATCAAACTTAACAACCTTTGCTTTAGTCCTGGCCTAACAGAGTGTGTTAGGCTGCTCAAAGTTGCTATCCTTGTCGATGAGAGGAATAAAATTGTGAAACTATGTCCATGCAGTAAATGTTCTTTGTTACGTTGTTAGTTAGTATTTGTTACTGCATGTATTTTTTATGTCCTTTTCTTCCCTACAAGCGCTTTATATGTGACTTCCCAATATCAATTCTAATGTGTTTGCAGGAATTCTATCACCGTCAGTTAGCTTCAAATCATTCTCAGCTTCCTAGAATATTCGGGATGACTGCTTCCCCCATAAAAGCAAAAGGTATGCAAGCTTGCTTATGTATTTTTGATAAGTTCACTACTAACCATTCTTAAATTTGTTGAGTTTGCCATGAAGTAGGTGAATTTGCTAATCAGTTTCTTGTGAAATAGGTTCAAGCTCAGGATCGAACTACTGGAAACAGATTAGTGAACTTGAGAATCTTATGAATTCTAAGGTTGTTTACTTAATGTTCTCTGCATTTGTGTGATTGCAACCCTAACATCATTCAAAGTGTTTATTGTGCTTTTCTATTTTTCATTCTGTAGGATTGAACTATAAAAGGAAAATGTGATGTATTTTTGTTTTGTTTTTTCTTGTGTTTTTAATCATGTGGATATTAGACTCAACTTGCATAATACTTTATTTTGTTCGTACATAAATCTTGTCCTTAAATGAGATGATAATCTAACCCACACGTGCTGGTTTGGTGGTCGAATAATGGGTAAAGTGTACACCCATATATCTTATGTTCGAGTTCCACCACCAACTGCATAAAATCGGCGTTTAACTTATGCAAAGTGGTTGTGTCCATTCGAGTTTT